ATTATATATAATTCTTAATTTGTTAAGGAGAACCGAAATGAAAATGTATAATATTGTATAGTATTTTTTGGTGCCATTATGCCAAGTAATAAGGTAAAACGTATTGAGGTGACAAAGTTTGACACAACCCACCAATATAATACGAGTTAAATGGATTTGAGTTGATCTTAAACGAGTTCGAGTCGTAAACGGATCGACGCAAATAATTCGTTTAGTTAATCATGTCGTGTTTGGGTGAAGGTGGTTCAACCCATGTAACCTGTTTAAGTATACGTATCATAAATAAATTTACATTTAAGTTCCAAAATAACTATCTAAACTTGGGTCTTATAATTTACTCTTTTGTAAACTAGAAACTATTTAGTAATTTGGTTGGATTAGAACTTATATTTTTTTAGTATTTATTTTTTGATTGAGTATTATTAATAATTTAAATAATATAAATTTTATTTAGTAAATAAGTCATAAACGGGTTACACGTATAACCGGTTTAATAAACAGGTCGGGTTAGTATTAAGGGTTTCTAACACGAATATTAAACAGGTCGTGTTTGGGTTGAGCTATTTAGTAAAATATCCTTAAGTTAACACGATACGATCGTGACCCGCGAACACGAATTGTCATCTCTATTTAATATCTTCAAAATAGACTCTTATAGAGGTAGGATATGAACAATTTTTTTTTTTTTTTATTCATCACTAAGGCTCTGTTTATTTGGATGTAAATTTTTTTTCAAAAAATATATTTTTATTTTTTAGTGTTTGGTTGTCGTAAAATATTTATAAAGAAAAAATATATATTAAAACTTAACTTACCTATTAATTTTCGACAACTTATTTTACATACCTTGTACGATAGACTTGATCTCAACCTTGACCTAAACATTTGTCAAACACCGAAAAAAAAAGAAAAAGAAAAAACCTAAAAAATAAAATATTTTTTACGTCAAACGAATAACAAGAAAATTAAACTGGCTTCTTTTAGTCCCAAATTATAAATCATCAAATTTGGTTTCTCACTGTTAAAACTTGAAATTCAAAAAGCATTCATAACCCAACAGTTGGGTTATTCCGTGTTGTGTTAGAGAGCTCGCCTTCGAGCTTTCGCATCTACTAACTTTTAATATAACATAAAATAAAATAAAATAATAATAATAAAAAAAAAAAAGAAACCTAAAATTCAAAAAGGTTATCTAAGTAATTAGATGCTATGCTTTGCATCATTCAGCCACAACAGACTCATGATTTAGGTGTTAGAATTTATATGCCCTAACATAGCAAATTCCTAGTTATTTAGATTATAGTGACGTATGTTCTTGACATATCTGCAATATTTATGATTTATACAATTGGTGAATTCAATGTATTATGTTTCGATTCATTATGGAATTGATAGTGTCCACTTGATTATAATAAATATTTATATATGTATGTGATGGTGATCAATACATGAATATAAATAGTAATTATAAATTGTTCGTAATCGGTAATTATGGATGAACTCATAATTAACTAAGACTTGAACTGGATCCGCATTAGGTTGAGATATATTGCGAGAGCCGTCGTATGTAATTGCTCCCAATCATTGTTATGACATTTGACTCTTAAGCATGAGAGAAGTATAGACTTTTTTTTATTAATTAGTAATTACTTTAATTTGTTTGGCGGAATCTCCGGAATCTATAGACCGGCATTTTGGGTAATTATGTAATTAATAGTTAGAGAGTTATATATTCAATATTTGCATTATTACTACTTGTATTTATTTTGTATTGATTATGGTTGATTACAAAGTAAATTCAAAGGCCTTCGTGTGTTTTTAGACAAAATAATTTATTAAATATTTATTTATATAAATTATTATTTTTGTCAAATAAATGTTTTATTGTGATCGAGTCGGAAATAATCAAAGGTACCAAAATAAATATATTAATTAAGTAGTCGGATTGATGACATTATTTATCTGATAACTAATTATGTATAGAGGAGTTAAAGTGTAACATTGACTTAGACGTTATTTATTATTTAATTGGAGTTCAATTAATTTCTTTTAGTGGAGTAGAAATTAATTAATGAATTAATTTAATAGGGCCCATGGACTGAGCCAATTATTAATTCATTATAACCAATAAAATAATAAGTCCAAAGGATTTTCACTCATAGTCTAACTTGATATTAGAATCCTATTAGATTTGATATATGTGAATTAGAGGGTGAGAAGGATTTATTGTTTACTTTCCTTATTTTTATTTTGCCTATATATACATGGGTCCATGTATATTTTAGGGGAGACTTTGAAAGGACAAGAAAATATTTTCTCTCTCTAGATTTTTAGGGTTAGTGTTCTCATCTAATGGAGACTCCCACAAGCTTATTTTTCAAAGGTCCTTGAATAAGGCATCTTGTAAAGGGATCTATAATAAGTGAGAACATTCATTTTAGAGGAGAGATTTAAGATTTACTCAAATCTTGATGTAAGAATTCAATCTATTAATTGAATGATATATCATATTTTATTTTCGCATAAAACTTGTCTTTACATGATGAATCAAGATCTATGTATGAAAATCTTTTAGAAAGTTATTAAAATTTGCACGTTTCCCAACACTAGGTAGGTCACACCCAATTTAGGACAAACAAACTCAATTTAATTATTAAGTTAGACAATCTTTTTCAAGTAACGAAGAATTAAGTTATTTAGAGATATAAGATCAGACTAGAGCTTTAAACGAGTTAAGCGGTTGCCTAAAGCCTCACCCAATAGAAACCCCCAAAAAATTTAGTTTGTAATATTATTAGTTTCTTGAAAGTGTTATTTCCTTATTAATCTAAATTTTTTCATTCCCATTCCTATTAAAACTCCTGGAAAGGCCCAAATTTTTAATATCCTTGTATCATTAGACCCCAATTTATTCCACTTTCTATTAAAGCTCCAAGTTTCTATCTCCGCACGTATTTTTTTCCCTCTTATTCCTCACGTATTTTTTCCCTCAGGTTCCAACATTTTTTTCTATCCTCCACTCAATGCTGGTTCTATTGTTATTTAACTTAAATTATCTTTTAACAAAAATTATATGGTATTTTGTTTGTGTCTATTTTTATTAATCATTTTTTAATATTAATATATTATATATATTAAAATGTCACTTTTATACTTTTTACCTAAGGTTGAGCGCCCTGTATAGGCTGCATACAATCACCTGCAAATTATAAATTTATGGTCTGCTTGATAAGAAGAAAGAAAGAGAGTAGAGGAAAGATGTGAATGAAAAACAAACTTCCTTTATTTAATAGAGATGAGGCAAAGAGTGAAGAAACTAGAAGATAATTGATTCATCTTTTCTCTTTCACAAAATTTTTTTCTTTCAAATATGAACTAAAGACACAAATAAAGAAATATAATACTATTATAAATGTTTCTAAATTACAAAATTTTCCTTACAATAATTTTCTCCGAAAATATATTTCTTAGTTAACAATATTTATTAATTGTTGGGACCAAAAACTATCAGCAGTTACAGCCTTGTTGAAATGATCAAAGGTCAATTTTAAGATATATAAGCTGGTCAACGTTTCATCAATGTCTGTCTATCCAACAAGTTCTTTTACATTAATTTAAAATGTATATCCTATTCAACTTTTAATATCATTTTATTCTAAAGAAAATAAGAATAATCAAAGTCATGCATGAATCAATTACTATTTTATTAGAACTATATATGGAATTCAAGATCTTCATTTGATCTTACATTAAATATTCCTTAAAGTCATGGTTTCAATTTGTTATTATTATTATTATTATTTATTTTTTAATAATTTTAAATACCAAATTGTCTTCTTTGCTTTTCAACATCCAGTGATCCAACACAAAAAATAAATAAATAAATAAAAATATCTTTCATTTGAATTTCCCTTTCTTCTTTTTCTTGCCCTAGTGGTTTTTTTTTTTTTTTTTTTTTTTTTTTTCCCCCCTTAATTTGGATTGTCCAATTTTTCAAGTTATAATTATATAGTAAACACAAATTTTTTTTTTTTAAAAAAGGAAAAAAATAAAAGAAAAACTAGAAGGTAAAGCTTGATGTTGACATTGAGACCAATCATCCCTCAAATTTGTTGACTGTCCCAATTTTAGAAGTTATAAAAGTGTCCTTGATTGAAAATCATGCTTTGGGGGTTGAAAAGTTGGGAATTTTTTTATGAATGATAAACTTCTCTTTGATGCTAAAAAAGAAAAGAAAAATAACTATGTTCAAACCCTCAAAGTGTAAAAACAAAACATTGAGAATGACCACACTTTTTTTATTGGGAAAATTACATATAAATGGAGTCAAAGTTTCATATTTACTTAGAGACTGAGTCAAAGTTCCATATTTCTCTAAAATGGATTACTGAGGTGGCACATGATTTTTTACTGTTTAGAAAATTGTGGTGCCTAAAATGCCCTTTCCTAACAAAAAAGTAGTACCTTCAGTTCAAAAAAGTAGTACCTCCGGAGAAAAAGTAGTACCTTCGCAGGTGTTTAAAATATATGGTAGCTGAACGCAAAAAAGTAGTACCTTCAGTTCAAAAAAGTAGTACCTTCGTGGAAGGGTATTTTAGGCACCACAATTTATAAACAGTAAAAAACCATGTGCCACCTCAGCAATCCATTTTAGAGAAATATGGAACTTTGACTCCGCCTCTAAGTAAATATGAAATTTTGACTCCATTTATATGTAATTTTCCCTTTTTTTATTCTCTATTTTGTTATTTTCTTACACAGCTCTGAATACCACTGAACGTTATATATGTATGTATATATACAGTCATACACAATACATACACTAAATATTACCCAACTGTAAATCGTGTGGCGGCCCAGCGTAGTTTGGAGAAATCTGTGTGCACGTGTCGGAACCCATCCTCTGACTTTTGTTCCACGTCTACCTCTCTCTATGATATGGTGCATATATATATATATATATATATTTCTCTGCCTCACTCACTATTCAAGTAGTGAAGTGGAAAATGACCGGCTTAGCCGGTCTCATCAACACCTCTTTCCCCTCGGAAGTTGTGAGAGAGAGAGGGAGAGTCGTCCATTTCAGCATTCTCACACTCCCAACGGCTTTTCTATCCTGCCCCCAATGACAGTATCTCATTCTCTCTCTAAGACTCTCATTCTCTCTCTAAAACGCTCCTTCAAGTGGAAGAGACAGGGGAGCAACCTCATTTGGACCAACAAGGTGGTTTTGAAGTCAGCCCAATCTTTATCTCCATTTTCTCTTTCTGACAGGTCTGCCTTTACCTTTCCATTTTCCTTCTGATTCTATTATTTTATCTTTTGTTCCCTTCATCCTTCATTTTTATTTTATTTTATATTTCCTTCAATTTTCTGTTGCTTCTTCCATTTTTGCTTCGTTTGACCCTCTAGAAAAATGGTGGTAAACAAAAGCAACGAAACCCAGATCACAAATCATGACCTTAATTTCGTAAGGGTTTCTTTGTAAACTGAAATTATCAACACTTGTTTCTCTGTCTAGGGTGTATGGTTCCGTGATTTTTGTTGTGTTGGTGAGATGGGTGTTTTAGAGTACTACTGCGTGGTTATGTTTGTTGTTATGGGGTTTTGTTTACAAGCTCAGGCTCTGAATTCTCAGAACCTGACATGCAATTCAAATGATCTCAAGGCATTACAGGGTTTCTTGAAAGGTCTGGACTCAGAAATTGTTGGCTGGGACATCAATTCATCAGCCCCCAATTGCTGTAATTGGGAAGGAATCACTTGCAATTCCTCGACTTCTCTGGGATTGAATGATGATCCTGTGGACTCCGGTAGGGTGGTGAAGTTGGATCTTGGAAAGCAGAGATTAACGGGTGAGCTCTCCGAATCATTAGGCCATTTGGACCAGCTCCGAACCCTCAATCTCTCTCACAATTTCCTCCGAGGCCCGCTTCCCGCGTTGCTCTTACATTTGCCAAAATTAGAGGTGATAGACTTGAACAACAATGATTTTTCCAACCAGATTCCGACGAATATCAGCCTGCCTTCAATCCGACATCTCGACATGTCGGATAATTCTTTCAGTGGTTCGGTTCCTGTGGGTATCTGTGACAACTCACCCCGAATTCGGGGTATCTATGTTGCTATGAATTATTTCCATGGTCATTTTCCACCAGGATTTGGCAATTGTAGTTCATTAGAGCATCTCTGCGTCGGTTCAAACTATCTCACTGGTGGTATACCAGAAGATGTATTTGGGCTACCAAATTTGGAGCGATTGAGTGTTCAGGATAACATGCTTTCCGGGGAGCTGAGCACGGGTATTGGTAACCTTTCTCACCTTATACGCTTGGATATATCATCAAATGGGTTTTCAGGACTTATACCAGATGTTTTTCATAAATTTCTCAAGTTACAGTTTTTCTCAGCTCAATCGAATAATTTCTATGGGCACATACCCTTTTCATTGGCAAATTCACAGACCCTTGAGTCTCTTAGTTTGAGAAACAATTCTTTGGAGGGTCCATTAGATCTTAATTGTTCGGCTATGACTAATCTGGTGTCTCTTGATATAGCTACTAATCAGTTCTCGGGGCCTATTCCTGGTAATCTTTCCTTGTGTCCACGATTGCAAACTTTAAATCTTGCACGAAATTACTTCACTGGCCAAATACCAGAAAGCTTCAAGAACTTCCCGAGTCTCACATACCTTTCCATCTCTAATTCCACTTCCAAAATTTATAACCTATCAGCTGCCCTTCAAATTCTACAGCATTGTCCGAACCTAACTACTTTGGTTCTAACCATGAATTTCCATGGTGAAGAATTGCCCGCTGATCCTGCTCTGCAGTTTACAAACCTGAAGGCTCTCATTATTGCCAATTGTGGACTCACCGGTTTAGTCCCACAGTGGTTGAGTGGTAGCAAAAACTTGCAATTGTTGGATTTGTCATGGAACTACTTGAGAGAAACTATTCCAGTTTGGTTAGGTGATTTTCAGTTCCTCTTTTACTTGGACTTATCAAACAACTCTTTTACTGGGGAAATTCCAAAAAGCCTAACTGGATTACAGAGCCTCATCTTCCGGAATATCTCGTTGGAAGAACCTTCCCCAGATTTCCCCTTTTTTGTGAGACGGAATGTAAGTGCTAGAGGTTTGCAGTATAATCAGCTCGAGAGCTTCCCGCCCACACTGGACCTCAGTGACAACTTTCTTACTGGACCAATCTGGCCGGAGTTCGGGAATCTAAAAAAGGTGCATGTTTTTGAGCTGAAATGCAATAATTTATCAGGAAGCATCCCTAGTAATTTGTCAGGTATGACAAGCCTAGAGTCACTGGATTTGTCACATAACCACCTGTCTGGAATAATTCCTTCTTCCTTGGAAAGTCTCAGCTTTCTGTCGAAGTTTAACATTGCATACAATCAACTCAACGGGGTAATCCCATCAGGAGGTCAATTTCCAACTTTTCCAAACTCAAGCTTTGAAGGGAACCTAGGTCTATGTGGTGAGCATGCTCTTCCATGTCCAACTAGGGATCCACCTCCTGGTGAATCACAAAGCAACTCGAAGAGAAAGAGAGCTACTACCATTGGAATGGCTGTTGGGATTGGATTTGGAACAGCTTGTGTTCTTGCTATTATGTTCTTAATTGTTCTGCGGGTAAGCAGCCGAAAGGAGGTGGATCCTGAAAGAGAGGAGGTTGATCCCTATGAAAAGGCTTTGGAAGAATGTGGGTCAAGATTAGTGGTTCTTTTCCAAAACAAGGAGAACAATAAAGAGCTCTCTCTGGATGACCTGATGAAATCTACAGACAACTTTGATCAAGCAAACATAATCGGCTGTGGGGGCTTCGGTCTGGTGTATAAAGCTGCCCTCCCTGATGGTAGGAAGGTTGCCATCAAACGGCTCTCTGGTGAGTGTGGTCAGATGGAGAGAGAATTCCAAGCTGAAGTTGAAGCACTGTCAAGGGCTCAGCATCCGAATCTGGTCCTTCTTCAAGGGTATTGTATGTATAAAAATGATAGGCTCTTAATATACTCTTACATGGAGAATGGTAGCTTGGATTATTGGTTACATGAGAAACTTGACGGGCCTTCATCACTAGATTGGGATATAAGGCTCCAGATTGCTCAGGGGGCAGCTAGAGGGCTTGCGTACTTGCATCAATCATGTGAGCCTCATATCCTTCACCGTGATATTAAGTCAAGCAACATCCTCCTAGATGAGAATTTTGAAGCTCACTTGGCTGATTTTGGTCTTGCAAGGCTCATACTTCCTTATGACACCCATGTCAGCACTGACCTTGTCGGGACATTGGGTTATATCCCTCCTGAGTATGGCCAAGCTTCTGTTGCTACTTATAAGGGGGACGTGTATAGTTTTGGGGTTGTTCTTTTGGAGCTCCTTACTGGCAAGAGGCCAATGGATATGTGCAAACCGAAAGGAAGCCGAGATCTGATCTCTTGGGTGATTCAAATGAAAAATGACAAAAGGGAAAGCGAAGTGTTTGATCCATTCATATATGACAAGCTACATGGCAAGGAAATGTCACGAGTTCTTGAGATCGCTTGTCTTTGCTTAAGCGAATACCCTAAAGGAAGGCCTTCTACTCAGCAGCTAGTTTTTTGGCTTGACAACATCATCAATGTCAACATCTAGCTTTCTAATGCATCAGGCTAGAATCACCTTGGAAGTCCATTTTTTGAGATGTTTCTATTGTCACACGTAGGAGTGTGTGTCGTTGAGCAGAGGGATTTGACAGAGCAACAAACATATACCTTGTAAGTTTTTACATTTTCAACATTACATTCTTTGTTGCATCAAAGAGAAATGTTGGTTGTTAAACATGTATAAAGTAAATTTCCTGAATTTTCCTTTTATGGGGTGGTAAATAGTTGATAACAGAATAAGATGGTTCAATTTCTGCTCATATTTCAGCAAGTAGTGTTCTTCATGTATGTATATTTAGTATTATCTTTATAATTGTGTTCCAGACAATTAGGATGTTGATGTGAAATGTCAAGTTATTATACTACATAACATATTTATTTCCAAGCCTGTCCAGAAGACCAATGGCCATTAATTCAGATGACATATATGATCACTCTTCCTTTAAGCGGAGGTTGATCGAGTTTGGAGTCCTGGTTAATATTTTGTTTGTGTTTTCATGAACTTTGGGGAAAAAAAAAATATTAAATAAGGGTTCGAAAAGACCTTAAGACTAAATAAAGTGCTAGGACATGCCAGAAAGTTTGAGTTAAAACAGGGAGATGGAAATGAAGACAAATGTGGTCGGTATGGTGGACAAAAAAAAAAAAAAAAAAAAAAAGTCTAAAATATACTACTATTGACAACTTACAGATTTCAACCGTTGAGAATAGTGTTATTGAACCATTCAACCACATGACATAACGACAAGACAAAGAAACAAGGTTGTTGGTCACAGCAGTTACTGAGCAATTTAGTAGTCCATATTTTTTAATGCTTGTATGCTTGAGTTCTTGTAAATCACTGCTGATTTGCACAATGGCTTAATTTCCTGCACTCAAATATCTTGTCTCATTTATATATATGTACCAGTGCTCAGTCTCGTGCTTTATTTATGATTTTATTTGAAAATATAATCCCTAATTGTAGAGTTTTATATGTCTGATAAATAATTTACCACACATTCCTAACGACATTATATTGTAAGGCTCTACAAATTGACCACTCTTAAATAATTAAATTCAACTAATTTTTGTTGATGTTGTTGTTTATTCTCGGCCATGTGATTGTTGTTGTTTATTGTTGGCCATGTGATTGTTGTTCACGGACTTGTTACAGAGTTTCAAAGTTTTCACCAATTTGTGCGTCTGTGTTCACAAGTGAAGGTTCATGAACCCATCACAAATTATATGAATTGTTTGACTTGTTTCATTACCATATTACTATTAGTAGTGTAATTTTCAACCCATGAATTTCTGACTTTTAGATCATTATTCTTTGACTCTATTTTAATTCCTTAGCGTGTTAGAAACGGTCTTTGTGCTCACCCCATGCATGAAGATCAGTTGAATATTTTCATTTCAAGCTACTGGAAAATTCATGTGAAGAGATCGTTTCCTTTGCTCTCGCAATTAAACAATACTAGTGTCATTCGCAAATAGAAAATATAATAGATTTGATCAGTATTATTATCAATTAATGTGTCTATCATTGATGTAGGGTCAAGTGCATATGTTTACAGAGCATATCATACCCTTCACGGACAAAAAACACTCTTAAAATTTTAATTTTGTGCCCTAAGTTAACTAAATTACTCTTACTGAACCATTTTATAAAATATATAAAAATAAATAATTTTATAAAATGACTGAAAGTAACACTATTGGAGGATGCTCAACACTCCTAAAGTTTCAATCGGGTGCAAATAGGCCATTCTAACAAATTTAAACCATAAGTTAACTAAATTATCCTTACTGAATCATTTTATAAAATATATAAAAATAAATAATTTTGTAAAATAAATGAAAATGATACTATTGGATGATGCCCCTTTCGTACATAAAACACCCTTCAAGTTTCAAAAAAAAAAAAAAAAAAAAAAAAATGTGCAAACACTTACTGTTTGGAATACCCTTTACTTTTCTTGATTAGTGCAAATAAGGACAAATCATAATTGAGGTATCGCTTTGGAACTGTACTCCTGATTTGAATAGTGGGTGTGTTATAATGCCGATAAACGTGTTTAAAAAAAGAAACACTTACTTATCATAAGCAAAAAAATAAAAAATAAAAGAAGCAACAGGCAAAATGTCAAAATTAACCATAAATTCATATTTTTCTTTCCTGCCTTTCATAACAATACTCTATATAATTATATATACTCCAAAAAAATAAACCCATGCACCCACCAGCCTTATCTTTTATTTCATATCTGTAAATAAATTTAACTATTTATAAAAGATTGAGACGACATTGCTTAACTAGTAAGGAATCGCATTTTGTATTCGTATTCAAAGTTAAAATTTGAAGAAGGAATATGTAAGTGTAAAAATTTAAAGATAAAAACTAAACAAGTCCACACAAATGAAAATATTCATAGAATTGATCCAAAATTCCTAATATTGCTTTGATGTGGCCTTATCTGAATACAAGAAGTAATATTCTATCTAATTTTCTTTTTATTATAGAGAAAATGGTACTTTTGGATTTTAAGAAAAAAAATGACATCACCAACGATTATTTTTTATCAGATTTATTCAATAGTGGCAATTTGTTCAAAAGATGGATAATACACGGAGTTATATGTATTCCCCCCTCCTCTCCCCCAAAAAACCTCTAATAAGGATGTATTTGCACATTTTTTTATATAACGAGGGTTTTTATTTTTTGCACTTAATAAAATATATATATATAAGGTAATGTGCACATAACACCCTTATACTATAAGATTAGTAACATATATATATCCCCCTTGAATATTTTCAAAAGAGCAAAAGGACAAAACGAGTATTACAATATTAATTTATGTATTTTTGAACGTTGTGAAAAGATTAAGGTTGTTTTTTTTGCATACTTTTTAAAATATAAAATAAAAGTGTTACACCAATTATACTTTAGAAGTATTTTTTTTTGCACTTGTCTCGGTTATGTACGTGTGTACGATTCTTTAAACGTTCAATTCTAACTGTTGAAAATAAATAAATAAAAAAGGGTTTTGTGTAAATAGACTGATGGGGGGCTAAAGTCCATGACAGAGCCTGTGATTCTCATTCAAAATCCCACCAAATCTATGGATGACCCAACTATTTGACATTGCGAGATGCACCAAATTCGTGGTCAATACGGTGCTACCGTGGGCGAATGCCCAACTATCATATATAATATGTATGAGTTTGACTGTATTTTGTGTGTGTGTGTGTGTGTATATATATATATAAAGGTTACATGTAAAAAAAAATTCCCAAACTATTATCTATCCTTTTACAAATAATCCCCCTAAACTAAAAACAGTTCATAAATTATTAATGTGCACAATTAAGAACAAATTTATGTCAAAAGACTATTTTACCCTTTCTCATTAAAATTTCTTTCCTTATTAAATTATTTTTATTATCTTTTCTCTTATGTAAATATTAATTATATTATTTACCTTAGTTTTATTATTAGTATCAATTTATCATAAAAATGAAAAAATAGATAAATAGATTTGTAAGTACAATTTTTTAAATTGATTAACTTATTATTAAAACTTTACTATTTATAATAAAACGTATTATAGCCAATTTAAACATTTTTATCTTAAAAAAATATCATTTTTTCATACAATATATTAATGAAAAACTAATAAAATACTTTTGAAAATAATACCTTCTTTTCATGTAATATATTCATTAAAAATTAAAAAATTAATTAATTTTTTTAAAAAAATTCTACTAATTTTTTTTAAATAATTAAATTTAAAAATCAAAAATAAATTTATGCAAATTTAATGAATAATATATCATCAAATTAGTATGAATTTTTTCATAATTTATTTAGATAAGAAAAAAAAATATAATATATAATTCAATGAGAAGGGACATTACGGTCATTTAATGAAATATAGTATAGTCTTTGGGGTATGTTGCAACAAAATGAGATAGTTTAGGGGGTTTTATGCACAAAATACAGCTCAAGGAGATTATTTGCAAATTCAAATATAGTTCAAGGTGGTTTTTTGCACTTTATCCTATATATAAACCTAAATTATGGGGGCCGGATTGTATCTATATATATATATTGTAGGAGCTGGCGGGTCAACTCGGGCGAGTGTAAACTATTCTATTAGCAACTAGCTATTCAACCTAGTTCAAATATTTCAAATTCCATTTGTTGAACATGGAAATTAATGTTTTGAACCGTGTTGACCTGTGTGTATTAAGTACACTAAAAACATATTAAGGAAACTGCTTTTCAAAATGCAAAATTAAAAGAAAAGTAATTATTAGATATAAAAAGTAATTACTGCTAATATGTTTAGTTTGAAACGCTAATTAAAAGAGATATTCTCAATATTAATTAAAAAATTCAAAGCATGATTGAATTTTTTGTCTGTAGATAATTTTTCATCGATGAATTTTTTTTTGTAAACCGCAGCTTTCCCAGTGAAAGACAAATTATTTTTATTGTGGACCTTCTTAAATTAGATTTGACTAAATCCAATTGTATCTTTCCATCTTCAAGATGTTGCTATCATAAATTAACATTGGAACGAGGTCCAAGAGTTACGTAGTATTCCCCTTCCAAATTTAGTTTCGCATTTGGTATCTGTGATTCACATTATCAAAGACAACACTTAATATGGTACGGAAGGAATATTTATTAGTCTCGTAATGAAAGATCCAACCCAGTGTATGTAGCTCACTGCTCACGTAATCCCTAATTGACATTCCTCCATTGAAATTCAAGTCATGTTGCTATATACATTATGAGAAACTATTAAACAACTTAGAGTATGGTCATTATTATGATCCAACGATTCTCACTTGTCGGTACCATATCTCTTACAAATTTAATACTTTTTTTATATTCCTTGCATTCCAGAAAGAGTGTCTTTGGTTGACTAGCCGTTATGATATCCTAAAATTGAAATTTGTGTGTGATTTGGTGGCCAAGTTTGAAAATTTGTAAAATGCCACTACCACCGCTAACTACTACTAACATAGCAAGAATGAATAGGGATCGTCCTAAGGGAAAATTAAGGTATTTCAGAATCAATGTTGGATTAGTAGGTCGAATGATCAAAAGAGGGGTTTGTTGGTTGAGTTATACTACAATTTAAGCTAAGGTAATGCAATGTAAAACAACTAAACAAATGACGTGTAGAGAATGAGAGAGGATTCTTGGGACATAGAGTTCACCACTAAGCCTTACCTTTCTAGACATTCAATATTAGAT